ACGAAATTTTGCACACATGCAAAGGGAGGAGGCTGTGGGTGATCGAACACTTGTTTCATTGCCCTTTAATGCCTTTAATGCAGAGCCCATTTTAATTTCTCAAAAAGAAAAATTGGAAAGGCTAGTTCAAGAAAAGGATTTAAAAAATAAGGCTGGCATTATAAAACAAAATTATTTGAGAGGCTGTCATTTTACATCATGAGACCTCGCACTGTGTGACAGCCGTAACCTACGACCCTACATTTGCACTCCAATTATCAATGAGGAGATGGTGAGCTTACTGTGTTTAAAATCTTTTGATTCTCAACTGTATGTACATTGTCACGCTGTATTTATTGTATTACAACTAAAGCTTTTTTTTTCAATGATGCATTTGTTTTACCACCGTCATTTTTTTCACACATGTAAGTGATGCATGAACCCCACTAAGATCACATAATCATATTTTCTATATGCTTTGAACTTTATTTGAAATCATAATTTAAAAAGATGTCATGATTGTGCAAACTGTTCTTGCATAGTAAATTATTTGCATGGTATTGATACTCATGGATAACCAGAGAGACACATACACTGTTTTTTTCACTGTCCCACTGTCTCATCGAGCTGCTCAGCTCACCTATGCTTCACTGACCAGCTGTATATTTGGGCATTAGTTTGCTTGATACCTGCAGTGTGGACTGAACAGATGGTAGTTATGTGCCTCTACCAAGGTTTACATCACACATCCGCTGTGAATTTGGGGCAAGTCAAAGCTGGCCTTGATTAATCGTTAGTTTGATTCTATAGTGCATATGTGCTTAGCAGTAAAAAGCATAGCAGGCCTTTGCTTTTTCAGCATCTGCCTCTCTATGAGTCTTTGCGTGGCTCTGACCTTAAGAATATAAATTTACACAAACTAGACATTAAGTGAGTTTTCACAGATGCTCATGTATTAACAAAGTAACACATGATATGATAAATTAAAAAATATTTTTTTCCCTAGTAATTTATTCCCTAGTAGTTTATTTGCCCACCCTTTGCCCTAACAACTGTCTTCTTCACTGCCTTCTTCAAATCAGGTCTGGATACCACGAGAGTCATGGAAAAACTTTTGGTCTATTTTTATTTTGTAGATCATTTAAAATTGATGCAAGAAATAGGATAAAGATAAAATAAAACTTACATTTGCACTGTACGAATTTGTGTTGTTAATAGTAGTTATAATGTATGGTATATAAAGAATGGGACTCAGGATAGCGGGTTTGTCTATTCATATAATGCTTTTCCTCATCCCATCTTTTAGCAATGAGAATTGACATATCAGAAGTGATTTATTTGAGGATATCCATTGTCATTTTGGACTGATTTTCAAAGAAAGACAAAGCCAACAAGACAAACTACTATAAAACTATAAAAATGCTGATGTATCACTGTAACACCCTGGCTGATCTATGGAGAATTAGGAGACTAAAGGTAGGCATGCTAAGTTGCAAAGCTGTCAGTTTTCCTTCTATTCCGAGAAAATAACAAACAAAAAAAAGGGGTACTTTTCAGTGCAGTCCAGCTCACACACAAACAAACAAACAAACAAACATAATGTCTCTTTCTGGTCACGGGCAGCCTACAGAGAAAAGACAGGCACATACCTCGGTACCTGCTCTTTCTCTCTGACCCTGCCTTCTTTCTGCAGTCGATGCTCGATTACGCCCAGGCTGTGGCCCCATGGATAAATACAATAGGTATGTACACTAGATAATTGAGGGCTTATGCTACAGTAGCTAGCTAGTTAAGTAGCTAGTGGAAATAGCTAGGGCTTCTTATTTGTAACAATCTAATAAAAGTATTGGTATGCACATTTGATTGAGAACTTTCCAAAGAATTTGCTACAAACATAATATATTGAACAATGTACTGAAAATCTGATTACTCATTCAGGGTTTTCCCTATCATAGAAAGTCTTTATAGAAAGTGTTTTTGTGGAACGACTTAAGCTGAATAAACGTAAAAAGACATACAACATATTCAATTCAATTCAATTCAATTTTATTTGTGTAGCGCTTTTAACAATGGACATTGTCACAAAGCAGCTTTACAGAAATAAATGGAGTCACAAAAATATATTGTAAATATTTGAATTTATCACTGTGAATTTATCCCTAATGAGCAAGCCAGTGGCGACGGTGGCAAGGAAAAACTCCCTGAGATGATATGAGGAAGAAACCAGGAGGAGAGGAACCAGGCTCAAAAGGGAACCCATCCTCATCTGGGTGCAACGGGTAGTGCGATTATAAATAAATCCCTTCTATTATTGTGTACTATAAGGACAAATAGTGCAATTGTGCAACCAATAAATTCATCACAGTTTTCGCGAGAAGTCCGGTTGGTTAAAATCTATCCACTGTCCACTGATGGAGTCCTGAGTACGAAGCTGCTCGTGGCAACTGCAGCCCCAAAGCCACTACAGCAATCGCAGTCCCAAGCCATTACAGTACAGCTCCCCATATGTGATCCCCAAGCCATCTCCACAGCCCCCAGGTGGCACCATCCCCAGCGATCCAAACAGTTCTTC